ATGGATGGATGGATGGATGGATGGATGGGTGGATGGGTGGATGGATGGATGGATGGATGGATGGATGGATGGATGGATGGGTGGGTGGATGGATGGATGGGTAGATGGATGGGTGGGTGGTTGGGTAGGTGGATGGATGGATGGAGAGTGATTAGCTATATGGACACAGGATGACAGATAGGAACCAGTTGTGCCATTCTGAACAGCAGCTGTGTTTGTGCCTGGGATGCTCACCACCCTTTGCTGTCCCAGGAGCATATACAACTCAGCTGTTTGGTACTATCACCACTGCGGGGACAGGATGCCCATCGTTATGGTGACAGAAGATGAAGAGGCCATTCAGCAGTATGGAAGTGAAACAGAAGGCGTGTTTGTCATTTCTTTCAAGGTATTTCCAGTGCTGCACGCACGCATGCATGTGCATACACGCACACACACACACACACATTCAGTTCTTTGGTTTTTGCTGTTGTTGTTGTTTTGGGTTTTTCGAGATGGGGTTTCTCTAGCTGTCCTAGAACTCACTCTGTAGACCAGGCTGGCCTGCAACTCAAGAGCTTCTTCTGCCTCTGCCTCCTGAGTGCTGGGATAAAAGGCCTGTGCCACCACTGTCCAGTTCTTAACAGTGTCTGTAAAGCCACAGTCTAGATCCTTTGGGAACACAGATAAGAGAAAGTACGCTCTATACCTGTAATCCCAGTACCGGGATGGGATTGCCAGTCCTGAGGCAGGAGGCTCACTGAAGGTTTGAGTCCAGCAGAAGATACAGAGTGAGAGCCTGTCTCATAAAAACAGGCGGGAGGAATAGAATGGAGATTTTAATATGGTCTGTGTTGATTGCTAGAGAGGGGGCTTAGTTGTTTGGAGCATTTGTTGTTCCACAGAGGACCTGGTTCTGTTCCCAGCACCCGCATGGCAATTAACAACTGTCTGACCTCTTCTGACTTCCTCAAGCACCAAGCATGCATGTGGTACACATACATACAGATAAGCAAAACACTCATATGCATAAAATAAACCTTTAAAAAAAAAGATGGTCCGAGCCGGGCGTTGGTGGCGCACGCCTTTAATCCCAGCACTCGGGAGGCAGAGGCAGGCGGACCTTTGTGAGTTCGAGGCCAGCCTGGGCTACCAAGTGAGTTCCAGGAAAGGCGCAAAGCTACACAGAGAAACCCTGTCTTGAAAAAACCAAAAAAAAA